GATCAAAATCAGTAGAGTGCTTGGTGCTGCAAAACTAACCATTAAAAACAGAGGTTTCCATTTGGAAGCATCACTCATAATGTGAGTTAAAATATCTCCCAAGATAGGTCATGTGGAAAATGATGCCAAAATAACTGGTAAGTCAGTAGCAATCTGCAGACTCTTTCCATCTCTTGGCAGACTGATCATATTTTTAAAGTGAAAAACTGGGGTGTTGTGTTCGGGGTTCTCAGGGAAACATTCTGGCACAGGGAAAAGGAAGCTGGCCAGGAATTTGAAGAAAAAAAGAAAAAAAGAAAAAAAAGGGCAATCTTCATCTCACTTTCACTGCTAAAATAGAAAACTGGGACACTGTGTAGTAAGGACAGGTTGGGATAAATTTTTATCACTGTGTCACCTCTTCCCTGTCTCCACTCTCAATCTCATTCATTCAAATCTAGCTCAAGTCTTGTCCTCAACATGTGCATGTCAACATGCATGCCACCAATTCTGTGCATGATTTTGCTTTTTCTGTGCTCAGTTTTGACAACACAACTCAAACATCCCTAACTCAGAATCTCCCATAATTTTCTGCTCATTAGCTTAAGACCTCTAGCTGAGAGAACAGAACTTAAGCTTTCCCTTCAGAAATACTCTCTCTTTTCATGCTATGATTTCCTTTTCCTCCTTTTTGATCATTTAGCACTCAGGACCAACATTTCAACACTGAAACTTACATCACTTGACACTCAGGGTACTATTCTTCTCTCTCTCCTTTCCTACAATCCCTTCCAAGATCAAAGATTTTCCTTTGGTTTGTAAACTTACCTTCCTTTATTATTAAGTCCATACCTCAGCATACTCCTACACTTTACACATGCACACTCCCTGTCCTCTTGCTGACTGAAAAGTTTGAACATATGGTTATAAAGGCAATGATGAATTTTGTATGCATGGAGGTTACCTGTGTGAGTTACACTTTATTATCTTTTCTTTCTCTCCATCTCTCTACTAAACTGTTGCAATATGTTTCACAATATTTCAGTAGAATCCATAATTCTGAGATTTACAGGGAGTAAATCTCATACTTTATTACACATACTTTATTACTAAGATTTAATGTGTTCTGGAGGAAAAGATAGTAAACAGTAACAAAAGAGTTACCCTCCAGGAAAGCTGACTAGAACAATAACAGAAGAGGTCAAATAGGTTCCCCAGTTACAACTTAGAAAATATATTAGACTTGAAAATACATAGTAAGTGGAAGCCCTTCATGCTAACAAGAATATTATCAATTTATAAGTGGTCACACATTGTAAGTGATCAAAAGTTAGATTTTCCGGAAGAACAGATGATATTCAACAAAATTGCAGAAAACATTGATTCTCAGAGCATAAACACCATCTCTTCTGCAATGGTGGAACAACCTATTCCCTGATTAACAATGGAAAACTTGAATGCTTCTGAATTCAGCAGAGATAAAATCTATTAACTTTACGCATGATCAGCACCTCAGAGTAGAAAATGCAGACTTTATAGTTTAAATCTGTATAGTGGACAAAGAGCTGTAAAAACAAGGACTGAATTCACAGTCAAATTCACTGTGACTTTCACCCTACATATTTTTAACCTGCTCCTTCTATTATTTGGTATTAGTTTAGGTTTATCATATATGGAAGGTACTGTATTTAATTTGCATTCAATTTAAGAAAGCAGTTGTCCTAGAAGTAGGTTAGAGGTTGATGAATGCTGATGAATATTTATCCCAGCTATGTTCTAATGGTATAATTATTTAGCAGGGAGAATTTTTAGGAAATTCAAGAAGGAAACAAAATGTAGAAATAAATATAAACTAATTTGAATATCGGCATGTAAGTATGGTAGAGTTGTGGAGTCTCAGTTTGTGGACATAATCAACACATGGCTGGATACAGTCCTGGGAAACCTGCTCTAGCTCACCCAGCTTGAGGAAGGAGTGGGACTAAATGATCTCAGGAAGTCCCTTCCCACCTCAGCTATTCTGTGATTTTGTGATCCTCCCAGGCTAGTTTCTTCTACTAGCTAGAAATAGCCAAGTTTTCCTACTAAAACACTGTTGTTGCAAAGTAGAAACCAAAAGCATAAAAGAAATAGATCTCAATATATCCTGTCTATAAATATGATCTTGTTACCACAGGAAATAAACTGTCAGTTAATTTAATTAATAAAAAAAAAACAAAAAACAAAACAGCTCAGATGAAAGCTAGCTTGGAAGTAGCCCAGAGGTCAGAAATTGAAATCTTTGATGTATGCTCAATCTTCAACATATGTCCTTGCATGGTGCTGTTTATAAGTTTCTGAAAATGGTGAAGACACTCTGCATTTCCAGTGGGTGTAGGAACAGCAGAAACAGTCAAGGAAGTGAACTTCCCAGATGATGCAATGGAAGTAGTGTCTCCTATGCCTATCTGAAACTTCATTTAACAACATAAGGTTTACAGTCAGTCTAACATTACAATGCTAAATTCATTCAGAGGCTAAATTGGTTTATTGCAACTGAAAATGGCATTGCAAGCATTAATGTCATTTTTGAATTTGACACTAGGCATAAATGCTTTGGTAGGACAGAAGTCATGAGTTTGGGCCTTGAACTATACCTATGAAAGCTGTGACAAAACAATGAAAAAATCCATGCTAAAGCTACGAAGGTGATTAAAAAGACAAGAAGTTGCAAAATAATTTTGTCAGTACTAAGGAAGTCTATATAAGAAATTAAAGTTTTGAAAGAAATTAAAATGATCGTGTGTTCATGAATAGTTAGTGAACACTAATGTGTTCACTAATTTGAAAGAGTTTGGGCCTCATTTTTCAGAACGCTTTAAATAACAAGCACAGATCCAACTCATTTCAGTCACAGCTGTGATCATTTGGCACTTCTATGTATCTGCCAAGGATGACTCAAATAGGTACCCAGAAAATGTGGCCATTTTTAGCAGCCATTAGGAGCCATATGTGAAATTTGGTTTAAGTGTCTCGATTACCATCACATTACAACTTTGTGGTAGATTCAGTTCTCACTGTCACAATTCAAATTCCTCATTCTTCACCTACAATTTGCAGACATATTCTGTTCCTACAGACTTTCCTAGTTACATGATAGATAAATCAATTTTCTTTTGGTCCTAGTTATGTGATGGATGAATCAGTTTTCTTTTGGTAATTTATTCTTTTTCACAGTTTATCCTCGATATACTCCTAGAACATAGTGTAATGTATTCAATTAGGCAAATGTGAAAAAATTCTACAAAGAACAGGTAAATAAGGACTATGCCTTAAAAGTTATGCATGAGTACTGAACTGACTTTACTGAATTAACCTCAGTTCTTGAGTTTTCTGAACTCTGAGTTTCTAACTTACAAAATTAACATTCTTGCTTTGCAGTTGGTACATTTTTTTTTTTGGTTTTGTTTTGTTTGTTTGTTTTTCAGAAGACATATAGAAAAAATTATCTGCATTGTAACCATGTTGTGTCTTGTGTGTAACTACCAGCACAGAACTTAGGTGATATATATGGAAAAGTAGTTGGCTGGTAAGTAGTTGACTATTTCCTTCAGCTGATGTTACAGCCGTTTTCACAGCATGTTTCATAGGTATTTTTTCACAACAGAAAAATTCTGGAGTAATTAAGGAGGAAATAGTATAGTTATGTCAGTAGATTGCTGCCCTGTAGCTAATGAGCCTGTGGTCTTAGCAGGCTTATTAGAATAGATGCAGTTCGACACTAACATGCCTAACAATTTTTACATTTGACTTAGTCTTTGTAAACAGGAGTTCATCAGGCCGTATGGGCCTACCAGCTGCTAGGTAGAATTGAAGCATGCCTTATGTTCAGTGTTGTGCAGTATTAAGTTGAAACATACCTCGTGTTCAGGAAATTATATTGCCCAGTTCTAAAGGGTTCTTACTAAGAACTAGAACGTGATATCCACTAACGTGAGATGAACCGTAGTATCTACAAATTCATAACTTGGTTGTATTTGGCTGGACAAAACTCAGTGGACAAAATTCAGGTTTCTGCTCCAAAGCATTCATGGTCTAAGAATTTCATGTTAAATGCTGTGAGAGTTTTAAAATACTAGAAAATCTTTAAGCAATATTTATCATCCAACATCTGACATGAGAATGTCAGTCCAGAGTTTAAAAACTTAGCAAATTTAAGTGCAAATCAAAATTGAATATTAAAATCAAAATTTAATATTAAATTTGAATATTAAAATAGTAAAAATAAAAATTGAATATATTTGAATATATATTTCAATATATATTTGAATATATATTGAATAAATTGAAAATAGTAAAAATAAAAAAATGAATATTCAAAATTGAATATTAAAATAGTAATGCATTAGTCAGCATTTTCTAAAATCAGTGTCTTTCATGTGTAGGAGCACAAAGAAGCTTCTATGATCCTAGATTATTTTCTCCCCTTAACCGTGTGAGGTTTTTGTTTGTTTATTTGTGCTTTTTTGTGTGTGTGTGGAATGTACGTGACTTCACATTGTCAAGGGTTTACAATCTTTTATAAGTAATTTCAACAAAATATTAAAGGAAAAATTGAGAAACCTATCAATTTTTCATATGGAATTGATATTCCATATTCTAAAGCAGAATCACAGTATCCTCATTACTTTGGCTTTCTGAAATGAGTTAACAAAAGACTGGGGAAGAAGTTTAGTATGGTTGTCTTTCATTATATTAATAATATTTTATAATATATGGCAGTGATGCATAACCTTTCATGTATGTTTACAAAGTAGTGACATAATTGTTCATGCTTACATGATAATTAAATGTGTTGATGTTTACAATTAGATGTAATAGCATAAAGATGGTCTGAATGTTTGCCAATGTATCTTCTATCTGGATCTTTTAAAAATAATATACAGTAGCAACTAATTAGGTAACTAATCTTTATGGCAATTACAAATGGTTTGTACAATACACACACAAGCAGACACACATACACATATTAACGTTCTTACCTATCTAAACATAATTAGTTGGATAAAGTCAGTACATTTTTCCATATAAGTGCCTTTCTTCTGTCTAAGGCATATTATCCTTACAGAATACCTGGCTGGATTTAAATTGAAATACAATATAAGTAATTGTGAAGTATTTTATAATAAAGTTTACATTATTTGACATCATGAAAAGAAAATTTTCTTAGCACTGTGATTTGTATGTACATTTTAGAGTAGCATGAATCAATCAACTCCTGTAGAGGAATGACAAAAAGGGTCATTTATATGTCTGACATAGAATTTACATAAGAATACATGTTTTTTTGTATTTTGATAAAGACGAAGGTGTTTCTTGTTCACTAAGACTGAAAATCTTGAATGATTTTTTCTTGCAGTGACATTATAAAGGACAAAAGGCTATAAGTACTGTCGCTTCAGAAAAATGTGCAACACAATCTTTAACCATTGCAATTAATCACAATTTCCTTACAGAAAAGGGATAAATTGTGGGCTATTTAAATATCTACAAATGAATACTAATATATTTCTGTTTTCGAATGTTTTTTTTGGGGGAAAGCTTGGTTTAACTTTTAAGTTTTCAAGGGTTGAGGATTAATGTGGCTACTGTGCATTTCTGAACAAACAAACAGTTTATTAAAACTGACCTGTAGGAAACTTAAACACAGCAGGAACTCAATAATCTTTGTTCATTGCAGCTTTACAGAACCCAGAAAAGGGGACAGTGCGTAAGTACTGCTTAACACATTTGATATGTTACAGTTGTAAAACTGTAACCATGAGCAGCTAATCTAATTTAAAAAAAAAAAATCAGAAGTGATTATTAAGCTTCAAGGGAGATGTGAACAAGTGTTAGTGATTGAAGAATATGTGGGACTTCCATTCAAACAGTCAAATTAAGTGATCAGCCCCTATTTAGGAGCCTTTTCAATATATTCTATGCCCCAGGGAATCTAGATCCAACCAAGAGCCATGGCCTGTGGTTGTTCTGCCTACATTTGCAACAGCTTGAGGTATGCCATCTCACATGGCTTAGGGAAATTGCTGCCAGCATAAACCAAATAATTCCCTCCCTCTGGTCTTCAAGAATAGCTGGAAAGTGTAATCTCTCATTATCAAACCTTCTGCTTTATTCTGTCCTGCTGTAGCTCAGTGTCATTGGCCTCGTTCACAGTCATCTCATCTTTGTCACAGATACATTTTTTTAAATGTGACAGAATCACATTTAGTAATCATGAGCTTGACAGATATATGTCTGTAAAAGAAAAAATATATTAAGGGTAAATATGGAAAGATTTCATACAAGTTTAATATAAAATTTATACATTTTTTCCCATGAAGGTTCACACATTTCAGTTGAACAGATAAAAACATTAATTATGATGTAATGCAATATAGTCTTTCGAGTAATAAAGGTGGCATCTTTCTTGAAAATTCCTTGTGTGTTCATTCTGTTCATTCTAATATATATTTTTTCAAACATATTCTTTACACCAGCTTCAAATTTCATCATGAAAATTAAACCTTGAATTTCAGCTGTGTCAGGAACATTATTCTATTGCTTTCATATCCGTAGCTAGGTCTACTGTAAACTGATAAATGAGTGCTCATTTTCTACTGTCATATACCAGCATTATTTTACCATTCATACAGACAATCTATCACATATTTGCCCAGCCAAGGACTTACAGACGTAATTACTTTACCTTACTCAAATTACTTCACCAAAATCTAATCAGCAATAGGGAGGTGCTGGTGCACCAGTCTCGCAACATCTAAGCAACCTGAAAACAGTAGGTTACATGTGTTTTCTTCTCCTGTCATATAGTCCTGTGATTTATTGATTTGTAGATGAGAATCTGGACTCTTCCTCTGGATTTACTGCAGACTGAATTAAAAGGTATCTTGTGGACTACACACAAAATACTGTGGAATGATGCAGGAGAACTGTTTTCATAAACCTTCGTGACGTTAGTATTGGATGGGAAAGGATGGAGTGCTGAAATGGAAGCAAGAAGTTTCTTACAGAAAATCTGAGAAACATCTGAGGGATGTCTATTTACAAATTCTAAGTAATTTGCCCTATTTATGGCTATGAGATCTGAATGATGATATTCAGTGCTGAACTTTCACTTACTCAAACTGACAAAGCAAGCCTGCAAATAGCCAAAAGCCTCATGATCTTTTGTTGACTGCAAAATCTCTTAAGCAGATTCTCTTTTCCTTTTGATCTGTAGGAATATTCTATGTTAGTGTAATCAGTAGGAACAGGATCTTGCTTTCTGAGTAGCGGGGGAAAAGGGAGAGAATACGCTCCAACATCTTAAAACAGATGCATTAGAAAGGACAGAACCAAACTGCTACTGCTGGAAAATCTGGAAAGAACATTGTGTTTGACACTTTATAGTAACTCACTTTTCTGAGAACATTTCTATATCCAAACCCTAGCAATTCTATGTAAGGCTATTTACACTTTTTTTTTCCTAGTAGCTTTCAGTTAAAGAGTGTTTATATAGATATCTAGAGCATCATGTAAGTATAACAAATAATGATGAGAAAAAAAAGATATACCTGAATTTATACACCCCAAAATATAGAAGTTGGACTAGATGATCTTGGAGATTGTTTACCACCTGAATGATTCTATGACTTACTGAGAGTTGCCCCAAAGCGACAATACAAGAATCACTCACACAAACTCAGTGCTCTTATCTCTGAAGAGTGACATAACATAGTTATGTCTTTTAAACATATCTTTCAAAGAAGATATCAGATGACAAAGAAATTGCCAAAGCTTTCCAAACACAGTGCTCTCTCTCAAGCATACTCTGGAACCCATTTTTATTTGTCCCCATCTCTACTCTGCGTATCTATTCTTTCTACAGGACAAAGGCCACCTTGTGTCATACTCCCTAGTTTTGGGAATAATATTAAGTTCATTGGACTATGTTTTTGTATCCTCCAAGTTCAGTTACTGGATTTATTCCACTCTTCAATTAATTTTACTTCAAGAAGGGATTTAGGCATGGGAAAACTCCAGGCAGCAACTGAAGGCAAAAAGATCTGTGGGGGTGTTGGGTGATCAGAAAGAATAGATAAATCTCAAATAAGATGAATACTGAAGGTCTAATAAAATTCTGTTTGAGCCACTTCTTCCAGCTATATGATTATCTCATGTTTAGGTTGGGATGGTAGGATTCACTAATATCTGAGATTCCATAAATATGCATCTTCCCAGCAGAGAAATTAATAAAGAAGACAAATTAAGAGAGTGATTATGTGAAAAGAATAGATCAAACCGGTTGCAAGCCAGAATAGGATCTGGGTAAGATAGGATAAGATCTGTGATCTTCTGTTCAGTGTAGGTTTCATGATGCTGCCTACTCCCAAGTGCAGTAAAAGATTTAATCACTCCATTTGATCTGATCAGGGAAAATGATAAATGAAAGAAATCTTTAAATATAGTGAACATTTTATCGGTCTTTTATTAATTATAATGCATTTCTCTGTCCTTATTGGCATGTAACCGATGAGCATTTACAAAGTAGTAGTCTGATGAAAAGTATAAATACACACTGATGTGTTTTAACTGCCAAATAATATTTTAAGGTTCATTAAGTGTTATGATATATTTTCTATTAAAATGAAAGAATCTTCAAAAACAAAACCTACTACTCCATGAAGCAGGATTATTAAGTCAATCAAATTTCTCTATTCTGATTTCTGCAATAATCAAGGGAAACTTTTCTTTCCAAGGACATAGAGAAGTAGCCACAATTAAATTTTTGTTGTTTTTGCCAAAGAATGAAGAGAACTAAGTAGTAAACATGCCCTAAAAGCAAAATGCATAATAAAATTCTTAACTTTAGTATGAAAGACCTTTAATAAGTATCAGGAGTTGAGCATTAGATTTCTAAGCAACTCAGCATGAGTTGTATTAGCTGTCAAAACAATTCTAGAAGAAGGACCTGATCTTCCTTTAAGTTACTTCTTACTTATAGTAATTATTTTAGATTAATGAAATATACCATTTCAAATATCAAAAGGAGCTGTACATTATATACAGGTAAAATGAAAGATCTTGAGATAAACAGATTCATTCTGTCTTGGAAATTTAGTGATCCATCACTATCAAACCACAGAACCAATTCTACATTCTCACTTATTTATTTATTTATTTTTAAAATTTGTTAAAATTACACACACATAGACAAATATCATAAGGAACTGCTACCCACATAGACCACATAATTGACACACTGTGCCTGGTATGGCATTTGCTAACCAGCATATTATCTAGGGCTGTTCAAACCTTCCCTTTTATGTCAGTCAGTTCAAAGCTGCTATTGCAGAAAGATAGATATTTTATGTCAAAAGTCATTTGACCAACACATTCGCTTTCCTTAGCAACTCCGCATAAATGTGTTGTGACATTTCATCAGTAATAAGATTTAGTTCAGTAGCTGAAAAGATGACAGACTCTGATTAACAGTCTTTTTGGTGAAGACCACACTGGTTACTTTGACTTTCGGGTTATGTCTGTTAAAGCTCAAGTTCGGTGTTCCCTTCCTTTGAGTATGCAAATATGCATGGGTGAAGATATGTATTATTTACAAATGAAGTCTAAATTGTTGATCTCTTTTGTGCAAAGTTTTTGCCTTGCCAAGAGGAGTTTGTTTCCATTCTTCTAACTGTCCCCATTACGTATTTGCATAGCAAAGTAGATGATCTGTACAGATTGCCTGACCACAAACAAGATCAAAATTTGTCTGGCATAATATGTCACTATGACATTCTCCTTGCAATATCATTACATAATGCAATATATTGCAGTGACACCTACTAGTTTTCTCAGGTGGCTACATTTCTCTATGTGAAGTTTAAGGTCTGTTATGAACCATATTTTGGAATGTGAGAATGTGTCTATATGAACAACTAAACCTGTAGAAAACGGATTACATGGACACTGCAAATTCAGCTTTTACGCAGGTTTTCTACTTAAAGGTACAGGTGATATTATATTTTCTAACATTTTTTGGACTTACAGTTTTTGTAAGCATCTTACCAGGCAGATGTTTTGCAATACAAAGGGCAAACTGAACAGGTTAAAACCCCCACCCATTGTTGGTTTAACAATTCCTACTTTCACTGACTTTGTCACATTTTAAAATATACCAAAATTTAAAACGAACCTATATAGTCCTTGATGATTACGTTAAAATGGCTTGTTTCCATTAACAAAGATAATGTCATTTCTTTATTTCAGTTTTTATTGTGAATCATATTTAGGAGGAAGTGGGGTCAGTATTTAAAAAATCTCTTTAATTTTATCATGTAAGTGATTATTATAAGCACCTCATCAGGTGTTAAGAACTCTTGAGTATTTCCTTTTGGAGGACTGTAGAAGGTAAATAATGTCTAGAAGCAAATAGAAGAAACTGTTTTTCAGTGTTTCAAGTGATTAGAATAGTATAAGGTAGGCCCTAGCTGCAGAAGCCTGCTTGATATTGGATATAGGATTGATATTGGGAATACAACAAATGACTTTATACATTTTATGTAGTGCTCATAATTAGCTTATCAGAACACCCACAACCGATGATTTCTGGATAAAGACAGATAATGAGGATAAGGTTTTAGGAACTATGTGTATTTTTATGCTGTTACTGAGTTCTAACAGGTTTTCTTTACTAAAATTGATTCATCCTTGGTATTATTATTATTTTTATTTACCCAAATTTTAAAGTACATATCATAAAATGACACTAAAGAAATGATATAATTCAATGTTAAGCATTATAGATTAATTTACAAAAGTACATTGCCAAACCTTTTGAGTGTTTGGTTCGATGACTCAAATTCAAGGGCAGCGAAGTTACCTAGGATATCAATGGATTTGCCTTTCTTAGGAATGGGAGAAAATATTAGACTCTATTTGTGCTGTACTAAGGGAATGAGATTGGGGGACACAGGTGAATATTGATAGTATACCAATGAATTAGAAAAGTTTGGGAGAAGCAGTGTAAAAGAGCTTTCCCTCTGAATGGATTTATAAAGCAAATTTCTTTGACCGTTGAATTTAAGACAGTGATATATTTTGTTTTACTCAGCCTGTTATACAGATTTTGCAGTCAGATGCCTGAGAGCCACAGAAACTAGACAAGAAGAGCTGCAAGATTATCTGATTACCACCAGGGGTCACATACTTTGCTATTTTATCAGTCATATTCTTAACTTGTATTTGTATTTATTTTC